AATTTATCGTCATTCGAGTGACGATGTGAGCGTAAATTTATCGTCATTTATCCATTTTGATATGAATTTGGGTAAATCAATGTATTCTAGATAGAAATCATTGATTTGACGATGCAAAAGCAAATTTATATGCAAGATTGATATAGGGTAACAAAAATTGTGCCAGAACTCCCATTTTGCCTCTACTGACTGACTAACCGTTGATTTTAAAATCCATGTAATGCAAAGCGAAAAATTAACTTTGCATAGCCTAATATAAAATGGATATTGCATGGTTTGTAGTAGACATAGGCCATTCTCAAGCACCTCCTTCTATGTAATTGTATAATGATGGAGGTGACACATAAGCACTATGATCAATTTAAGGAATAATTGCGATCAGTGCTTAAGCAACCTTTATTCTATTATCACTATCAATATCTTCAAAAAAAAATAATAACTATCTCTTCAATTTCTAAAACACTGGCTTTCAGAATATTGGCTTCTAAGCCTTTGGCTCCTAAACCTTTAGCATCTAAATCTTTAGCACCTAAACTATTAATTTCTAAAACTTTAGTTTCTGAAACTTCGGCTCCAGTTATTTGTAATACTTCTTTTACCAATTTTATGAATAATTTGACATTGCAGCAACAGCAGTTTTCTGCTATTCAAGTTTATACAGATTCTTTTGATGAAATGGTAACAAAATATATTAAAAATAATAATAATTACCTTTTATTTAAATATAATTAATTGTGAAAAAAATTTTTTTTTAATGCAGTATTCTTAGTATTCTTTTATTAGCCAAAAAAACTCACTGCCTTCTGATTCTATAGCTGTTTCAGCTATTATTTATAGTACATTACCTACTATTGCTAATTTCAATACATCTTTTAGCAAATCAGCAAACTGAAGGACTCCATCAGAAACTCAGATGCTTATTCATGAAGCAGGAAAGTACCAAGAAATACTACAACACGTTAAGGATCCTAGAGAAAAAGGTCGAATCTGGGATGTGATTATCTCTAATGTTAAACCTGTAATGTTGCAGGTTCAGTTTTAAGAGAACATACAAAAACTTCAATCTAACAAAAATGGGATGCACTAATGCAAAAATATTGTGACATTAAAGATAGAATTGCAAGTACTGGCAAGAAGGCTATTTAGAATGATTGGGAGTTTTTCAATGACATGGATGAATATCTAAGAAAAGATCCAAGCATTACTGCTCCAATCACAAGCAATTCAATCCACAGAATTAAATATAAAGTTCAACCAAATAATGAAGATCAAGATGAAGCCAAAGTAAAATTTATTTATTTATTTGTTTTTTTTTTCTTTTTTATTTAACTAATTATAATTTTATAGGATAATAATAGAAAATGAAGAAGTACACATCTTGAAGATAAAAAGTTGAATATAGAAGAACTTAAATCCCTTATTAAAGAACAAACTGAAACAATTATGAAAATTATAAAAAATCAATATGCACAAACATCTAAATTTCAACAAAAACAGCATGACGACCAAATGAATATTTTTAGACAATTGTTACTTAAACTTTAATTAATTTACAATAATGTATTTGCTAATAATATACTTGTGAATATGTATTTACAAATAATGTATTTAATATAATTATATTTTTAATATTAATAAAGCTATTGATTTATAAAGTTCGCTAAATACTCTCTTTTTTGAATACCCACCATTTCTTCTCTTGTCTCACCTATTGGCACAGTCTCATCTTCATTATTTGCATTATTATCTAACTCATCATCTAATGAAAACAAATCACTCATATCAATACTAAGTTGTGTAATATACAACATACATGTATTATTCTAATGATCTGTTCCATCTTTGTACAATATAGTTTGTTTAATAAAATTTGGCATCAACCTTTCAAATGTCCAAACACACATTCAACAACTATTCATATTGATGAAAGAGCTTTGTTAAAGCATCTTTCTCGATGTGTTAATGTGTAATAATCAGGATATGCTTTCATTAAGTAAGTTTGAAGGGGATATGCTGCATCAGCAATTATATAAGTACCACCAAATAATTATTGTTCAAAATTTGAAAAAATTTCATGATAAAGAAATAAGTGATAAATTACACAAGCATCATGTATGCTTCCTAAAATAATAAATATATAGTTAAAATAAATTTATTCAAAATAAAATAAAAATTTTTATTAACCTGCTTCTCCAGCGAGTATATATGTAAAATGCCCTTGGTAGTCAACAACTGCAAAAAGGTTAATAGAATGGAAGTTTTTACGATTAACATAATGAGCACTATTCTCTGAAGTTGGATAAATAGGTATATGAGACCCATTCATCACACCAATACAATTAGATAGTTTTTAATTTCCGAATCTATTTTCTCCACATTCAAACCCTTGTGTCACTGTTACTATTCAAGATCCTTGTGTCCATGAAATTCATTCCTTCTCCAAATCCAACAAAGCCCTTAAAAATCGATCAGTAAAATGGCTTACAGACTTTTGACTTACCCCAAGTGTTTGTTCTAACACTCTTATCCCTACTCCATTCACTAGTCACCATAGTATAATTGCAACTTGTTTCCATATGGGTGTTGCATTAGGTGCATTAGAAATAAAAACTGGATATGTCTCTAAATGAACCACAATAGCACCAAATTAATGCAAAAATGCTGCCAAAAAGAATTGTAACCTTCTCCATCCACCAAATATGGAAAAACTTCTGTCCAAAAACCTCATGTTTTAGGTCTTCTTTGATGTTGTGTTCTTGTAGTAAATAAAGAAAGAGTAAATGGAATAGTTGAATTTATTATGATATAATTCAAAGCTAAAAAATAGCTATTTATTTGTTGCATTTGAATACTTGAACATTGTTGATTTGCATAATAATTCTTTTGCATCGACGGTATATTTGTTGAGAGAAATGTGCTTGAGCTATCTTTCTGGTTACTTTATAAATAGCGGTTTTTAACCAATCAGTGCAACTCTATGAAAAAAAAAGATGGGTGTCAGGTTCAGGTTTTTTTCGATTTACATCATTAATCACGATCTATTTTTTTAGCCAATCAGATCATTTTATTAATCATTGAGGGAGGCGCTTGAGAACAACCAAAGACAACACGTTTAAAGCATGGTGTTTGGCATGTGATCTCGACAAGCAAAAATGAGAATATTAATGATTGCATCAGATAATTTCAGCTTAAAACCATCATCACGAAGTTATAAAAAAATAATAAATCTAGATGATTAACCCGGGTTAATCAATCTAAAAAAGCATAGAAAGACGGGCTTCGTTTAACATTGCAATGTAAAAAATATCAATATACAATGTACGACATATTATTTAACTAAGTAGTTAAATATCTAGTTGTATATTGTAATGATTATCTTTAAAGGTACGACGTTTATTCTTTTAAATTAAACAACGAGTCTATTATTGATTTTAAAACTTCCTGATGATGGAAATGCAATTGAACGGATTTCATTCAATAAATTACTATATAAGCGCGAAATAACGCACATGAGCGTTATTTTGAAAATCGGATCCTTCAAAAATAACTTATATATTTTCGACATTAGGCTCATGGGCGTCCCGAATTAACGCGCACCCTAATGAGCACCAGCGTTTCGGGCGAACCCGATTTTGCAGATCATTTGCAGATCAAATTGGGCGAAACTGGTTTCGGAGGGTTTCGGACTTATAGGGCGAAACTAAAATTCCTCTGGCCGAATTTGGAAAATAGTTTCGCCCGAAACACTGATGAGCACATAATTTATTGTTGCGAAAAAATGATATCAATCGAGTGCACTTCACATGCACATTCTCTATAATGATAATTTTGATCTGTCTAATGTAATTAATTAATATTATCGTTATATGTAGATTATGCTCCATGAATGAATATTCTATAAATGCATTTATGGAGGGTTGACTGTATTGCACAAGTCGAATGAAGGCAAATCGGGCTCCAATCGGCATCAAGCAATTCCGATATGAACCTGATTTGAAACAGATATTTGGCGCAAATATGAGACCTTTAGGTTACAAATCGGGTTCATATAGCTGGTAGGTGTTCAATACATAATAGCTATAAGGCAAGCATTAACGATTTATCAATAGAGCTGTCGGCATTCCGATAAGTATTGAACGCCTATATGATCCATGACCTACTTGTCATACCTAACACTAACCCGTAGTAATTTATCCATGTCACTTTTAACTAATTTTTTTATTGGTTAGTAATTTATATTGCGGAACTCAGAATTGTGGTACTGCATAAAAACTAGAGATTTCCGCTCAGTTCTTTGTATATTTGAATATTCGTTTATATCAACAAAAATGCGATTTTCTTTTGACAAAATCCCCGATCTTTCTGGCAAGGTAATTTTCAATTAATATATTTTTTTTATCAAAAGCTAATATAAATTCACATTTAATTTCTCATAATAAGGTTGCAATAGTGACAGGTGCAAATACTGGTATAGGATTGGTAACAGCAAGAGAATTAGCCCGTAAAAATGCTCACGTATTCGTTGCAAGTCGTAGTAAAGATAAAGGCGAATCAGCTGTAGGACTAATAAAAGAAGAAACAAACAAAGATGCAGTTGAATTTTTACAATTGGATCTACAAAGCTTAAATTCTGTTAAGGTTGCTGCTGAAACATTTTTGACTAGAAATTTACCATTACATATTCTGTGAGTGTTATCATACATAAATAAATATATATATTGCGTTAGAACTATGGTGTAGGACGTCTATACTAGACAACAATTTTCAAAACGCTAAATCTATTTACGCAGACAATATTTTTATAATCTGACCGGTAACTTTGTTCTTCATGATGAGCTCTACAAAGTTACCGGTCAGATTTCAAATAATGCCTTCGTAAAAAGTTTTAGCAGTTTGAAAAATTGAACGAGTCACGTGTTGTCTAGTATAGATGGCCTGCACCATATAATTTTTTTTTATGTATATTGATATTTACTTAATTTTCAGTGTTAATAATGCCGGTATTATGGCAACGTAAGTTATATTTTCATATATAATCATTTCATATATAATAAATTATCATTCTAATCTTTACATTCATATAAAAAGTCCATTTGCGAAAACTGTAGATGGTATTCAAGACCAGTTTGGCGTTAATCATATTGGCCATTTTGTAAATATGAGAACCTTTTAATTAAATTTTTTTTTTAGAAAAAGTATTATCATAACATGAATTTTTTAAACTACGAAATAGGTCTTCACACTTTTATTGCTGCCAACCATCAAAGCTTCGGCTCCATCACGTATTGTAAATGTTAGCAGGTTAGTTTAATTTCTTTCTATACTAAGAAATTTAATTCCATGTTATTTATCGTCTCGTTATGATTTTAGTCATGCTCATGAAAGAGCACCACCAGCTGGAATAGAATTTGAAAAGTTGAATGATCCAGAGGCTCATACTTCTTTTCAAAGATACAATCAATCAAAAATCGCAAATATTTTATTTACTCTTGAACTTAATAAAAGACTTTCAGGAACAAATGTTTATTGTAATAGCCTTCATCCAGGTAAAAAAATATTTCAAATTAGTATCTTATAATACGTGTATAGTAAATTATTCTAAATAATATACTATTTAATATCAATAATTGCATACGTATAAATAAGGTGTCATAAAGACTGAGTTAACGCGTGGAGTGGTTACTGACTGGGGATATTGGATAAAACCAATTCTCTCTGTAGTCAGCCTTTTCTTTTTAACACCTGATGATGGTGCTTTAACTCAACTTTACTGTGCTACAAGTCCTGAAATTGAGGAGAAAAATCTCCGTGGAAAATATTTTGTACCATTTGGTGAAGTAGGTGAACCTATTACTCAAGCTAAAGACGAAGAATTGGCAAAAAAATTATGGGATTTTTCTGAAAATTTCGTTAAAGAAAAGTTGGATGATGACATTTTTAACAAGTGCTATGCATAATTTTGATGTAACAGTTTAAAATTTATTTTTTTATATATTTTTATGTTTTATATCGATATAGTTTTCATTTTCATATTTATGTATACTAAAATGTATGCAAGGAGGTTCGCAGGATATGTATATTTTATATATAGTTAATGTTTATATATTATTATGTTTGACTCTAAGTAAAAGTTTTTAAGCTCGAAATTTCGTGCATTTTCTAGCCTTAAGCTTTAAAATCAATTTTTTCTGTATGAACAATCTACATTCGATATATACAGTGTATGCCCATTCACCTGCGTTTTTTGTACGTACCTGTATTTTCGTGTAACAATGGGTCATGATAGTGATTTTAATATAATCATTTAGTTATGAAGCCATTTTTTAGATTTAAATAGCACTAGAAACGATTATTTTTTAGAAAACCTTGATTGAGAAAAAATTCGATCTGTGTATCTAAAAGAAGTCTGGGATATTTTTATGTTAAATTTATATGATATATATTTTAATTCTAATTTAAATCTTCTGTTAATGAAATGTAAGGTGACCTGATATAGGAGGACATTCGTAAATCAATTTTATGCGGTTATCGTTATCGATTCTCTAAACATGCACCATGTTACGAAAACGGAATGACGTTAACTGGCCAAATTTAGAAAAGTTAGATATTGGTCAAACGAATCTATTAGTAGAAGTTTTCGGTAATGTTCGTTGATTTACTAAAATCGTGAGAATGTATTAATTATACTAACGCACAAAAGGAAATTGTATGTCACTATTTTTATATTTTTAAGACATAACGATAAGTAAAAGAAAAAACTTCTTATGTATTAGTAAGCAAACTTTCGTCTGTAACAAGTTGGTCATCGTTTAAAACTCAGATGTTATTGATGTAATTAGTAAATTCGGGTTATTTCTCTGTTAGATTATACGTTATACGTTATTGACTTATCGTAGTTTTATATTAATTAGATTTATTGGTTGTGAGCTAGTTTGTTTTTATTTAAGGAAATTTTGTCCGGCAGCGAAAAATTTCTTTTGATCGGATAGTAGCACATCTCTGCTTAGCGCGCAATTCTCTGAGCGCTAATAAAAAGCTCGCTCTGAGATACACCAAAGAGCATTTTTTACAATCGTTTTATTTGTGTAATGAAAGTTTCCTAATTTATAATTATATGATACCCGTGCATTTCCAAAGAATGAGAAAGTCCCCATGCTAATTTTCCTACCAAGGAAATTTGCTATTGCACAAGGCTCAAACGATTTCAACTTGGGCGCTAAAAAAAACAAAAAAAAATAAGAAGAAATGTTTGTACCACATGTATGGTTTGTGAAATACATATCCTCTTTTTTCACACAATGTCAGGTTCTAAACACAAGACATGTTCGTTGAAGAAATACTTTGAAGAGGAATAAGTTGCGTGAAAACCATTTATAAGAATATTGGAGAGGCCTAATGTGTCCAATCGCCTTCTCGAATACCTATGTAGTTTAAAGCACAAAACCTTTTTAACTGACAAAAAACAAAAGAAGCACAGAAATTGGATTGACAACATCAATAAAATCTGGAAAAGACATCCTTCTCTATGGATTCAAAAGTTGGCATCAAAAAATATAAAGTTATGTATTTTATTTAGGGGAATTTACAAATAAGTGCCCAAAAAAGTAAAATAATTACATATAAGTGCCCTATTTTAGAAATTTTTACTATATCTCATGATACAGTGAACGAAATTTAATGGTTTGGATACCATTTGAATTGTCTCGTCAAGACGGATCGAATGGTACTAAAATTGCTAAATTTGAATTACTGGATAACGAGATATCACGATTTAAACGGATTTTAGAAAATGTTGAATAACTTGTAATCCAGTAATCTAAATTTAGCAATTTTGGTACCATCCGATCCAACTTGACGAGACGATTCGAATAGTATCCAAACCATTAAATTTCGTTCACTGTATCATGAGATATAGTAAAAATTTTTAAAATAGGGCACTTATATGTAATTATTTTACCTTTTTGGGCACTTAATTGTAAATTCCCTTTTATTTATACAGAATTAGCAGAAGCTGGTATGCTATCTCTGTACTAGTGATTTGAACCGAGAAAAATTCTCTTAATCGGTTAACTGAACCTAATTATTTCATTCAACCAATTACCAACCGGTCAAGATTAACATCTACACTGCCTTCGGAAATTCTCGGAGCATTACTCTAATTTTTTGTCTCGACCTACTTGTCTTTTATGTTCATTTATTTTCTGTCGGAACTTTACAAATCCTTACTCTCTCCTACGTCATTTGACATTTTCTCATACCATATTGATTCAACCGATTAAGAATTTCCTCAACCGGTTACCCGAAATTTATTCGGTTCGGTCGGTTAACTGATTATAGCTCAACCAATTCAAGTCACTACCCAGTACCCCAATCTGTTACTTTTTACACCTTACTTTATTTGGTTTTATTGGTCTTCCAAACCAGATAACCCGAAAAGACTGATTTGCTTCCACACATTTAAAGTTAATATTTGTTTATCGCCATACACATGTTCGTGAAATATATGTTGGCAAGGAAGTAAGTACCGACGAAAGAACAAGCAGAAACAACTAGACAAAGTTAAACCAGGTGATTTTTTACCTTTTTCAACCCTTTTTTCAACGGCACAAGATTCATCGACGATTAACTTTTGGATTGGAAATGGGAAATTATGAATTTGACCAAGAATCTCATCATCAATACCAACAACCGAAATCCGCTTAATTCTAAATTCGAATGCCACATGTTCTGCGTCAGTACGTTTTTTTATATCCAGGGTGACGGTTTTATGACACGCGCCTAATATAAATAGAATAATGCTTTAAAAAAGTTTTTTTCCTTTTTTTTTTGTGTCAATAACATTTAATAAAAAAATAAAATTTTTACAACAAAATTTTCTTTTTACAAACATTATTTCGGTTAAAGAAAAAAAAAAAACTTTTTTTTTAAAAAAAAAAAAAAATCGGGCCACCAGCCTAAATAAAAACATGGTTTTCGCTAAAAAAAAAATTAAAATAAAATTCTTATATATATATTTTTTTTTTTACAGTTAAAAAAAAAAAAAACTTTTTTTTTTGTTAAAAAAAAAAAAAAAAAAAAAAAAAAAAAAGAAAAAAAAAAAAACGGGCCATCAGACTAAATAAAAACATGATTTTCGTGTTATACCTATTAAACCATAGCTCGATGTCGTCGTCCTCTTTAATTCGCTATGGTATGATTCCAGGGTATTCGTCGAAGTCACTTGTAATAAAAGTGGTGAATGCTGTCGAGCCCATAAAGCCCATTGATTTGAACTTTTCTGATAATTTCGTTTGATATAATTTTTTACACCGGCAACTTGACATGAATCAATTGCCTCTTTGATAAGCTTGTCATATCCAATTTTTGTAGTTTTATGCATTGCTTGGATTATTTTTCCTCGGGCCTTTGTTTCATATATTTTATTCATCCATACCCGTATTACGTGAACCGTGCAAAAATTACGGCACATTCTTGCTCACCACCCCGGAGACCAGGAAATGCTTTCGTAACACTATTGGCCTCAACATGGCTTTGGTCGGCAAGGATATATCGTGGTTTCCAATGGCTTCCAAATCTTTTTATTATTTTTAAAGCATCCGAGACCGTGTCACTATCTTCTTTCTCAACAAAAAAGTGGGCACCAACGTCCCAACAACCATACGTATCCCGAACATACAAGGTAAAAAGGCGGCAATCATACTTGTTAGTTTTATGGGTCGAATCAATAAGGGTTAACCACCCATATCGTTCGAGTTTGATAAGTTGAAGGGGATGTACGAAAACAAGACCATAAGTAGCCCAACTAGGGTTATGTAATATTCAACATGATAACCTTGGTTTTTCAAAAAAAGAATGCTTTCTTCTATATCATTTTTTTTATTTTTATTACCCCTAAATTATTATTTTGTACCTCACAAACTTTGTATTTAATGTTTGTAACCTCGGTACGTTTTAGCTCTTTAACACTTGAGCTCAGATCTAACGCCCTAGTTGCATATTCTTTAACCGCATTCGTGATAGCAGGTGGTGGATAGTCTTTGGCCGCTTCTTCCTCAACCAATTTACGTACCGCTTCCGAGCGCTTTAGCTTTTCACTTTCATCAAGTGTATGTGTATGATTAAGACTTTCGTTATATTGTTCTACCTGCACTTTTTGTGCACTAACAAAACGTAACACCCGGATTTTTGCAGAGCAGAGATTAGATGGGCAGACCTTCGTTTTTCGATGCTTTTCAACAGGAATTCCTTCCTTTCGACTACTTGAATTATTATGCTTCATTAATCTGCATGCAAATGCCTTCCAAGAATTACCATTGGTGTGGTTTTTATAGCTGAACCTTGTTCACACATTTGTAACAAGCGGCCACTATTCGCGATCGAATTCATCCATTGATACTTCAAATGGTTCGCCAATATTAAAGAGTAGCGCACGCCTTTGATCAGGAGTTGTGGATTGTGACGTATAAACTTTGAGCCTTTCATGTGCTGCGGGTGCTTCACCTGTCACGGATATTACTTGTACCTTGTTTTCTTCTTCACTATCCTCCAATACAACCACTTCATTTTCTTCAAAAACAGTCCTTTCATTTCCCACCAAAATTTCTTCACCTTCATCAATTTCAATTTCTTTAAATACGTTCTCTTCTCTTTCAGCAAAGTTACCCGCCATATTAGAAAAAAAAAAAAAAAAACTATATATATTATATATATATAAAAAAAAAAAAAAAAAAAGGTCTGTAAGACACAATAATTCGTATAGACTATTCTATTGTGCAACCCACAACTACAAAACTACGGCACTACAGTATGAATGTGCTTTCAAAAAACACTGCTTATCGTATAGCATATCAGTAATGATAATAAGACAAGTCTTACACAACCGCAAGAGAAAAGAGTATTTGAAAAAATAAAAATAAAAAAGAAAAGATCTTGTTAAATATCATGTGATTGATGGTCTGCATATCGACCAATAAAATTAATTATTTTTATTAATCTTTTTTATTATCATTATTATTTTTTATTGTTATTTTTTTTTTATTAATTAATTAATTTATCGTATTCTTTTTTTAAATACAATCGTTACATCGTCAAATCGCGCAACTATATATATTCCTAAAACTTCATTGCGCAATGAATCTCTTATATATAACGAATGTTATTATATAGCAATAACTAAGTTTACTGTAATCTCTAAATAAAATACTCTAACTATTCTAATCTCTAATTCTAACCTTACCCTAGCATTATATACTACCCTAACTTTAAAACCTCAGCGATCTCCAATGTAAAAACAACCAGGGACGTCCTATAAAACGCATCATTAACAATGTAGAAAGCTATCATAGAACACCACAAAATGTCATAGAACATGCTCCGAAAGGTCATAGAAAACCATCCCGAAATACCGTAGAAATCCACCAATGCATATCATAGTGAACCCACCGCAAAACTATATAGAAAGAATTTTAAAAAAAATTATTAGCATTAGTCTATTAAATGGGAAAACTATTCTCAATCGTCCGACTTCAATAAAACCGAGGTTTACAAAAAAAGAATGCATTAATTTTCATTGGAAAAGAAAAAAGAATAATGAACGTAGCAACAATATTACACAACAACAATATTACACGCTGACAATGAAAGCAAAAACACCAGAAAGTGATAACAAAACCACGAATGACAGTCTCCCAAAAAAGGTAACACCATCAAGCGAACTATAGTTCTAATAAATGACGACTTCAACAAACAACAATGCTTCAACAAATGACAATGTCAAATGTTGGCTCCAATAAATGACGACACTATGAACGATGGCTTCAATAAACGACAAAACGAATGACGACCCCAACAAGCACGACACCACAAATGACGACTCCAATAAGCGACAACGTCACAGACGATAGCACTAACAAGCAACGATTCCACGAATGATAGCTTCAACAAGGACTACAAAACTAAAAAATAAAAAAACTAATTAGTGAAAAAATTCAATGCGCAACTTGCTACGATTATCAAAATTTAAAAAAGCCCCCCAAAAAAGTTAATTTAAATTCTACTAAAATCCGAAAAAAATCAGGATCCCTGCGTCTCCTGTGATTTCCCGTGCTTCGGGTGATTTCGTGAGATGCCAGACTTTAAACGACTCCTATATGTGATAATTAATGCGGAAAAGGAATTCTGGAAAGTTTCGATATAGAAAATGACTGAACTTAAAATACAAGCAAGGTTGAGGCAATTTTTGGATCAATATCCAAATGATTCTAAAGGTAGAATAGTAAATACATATAGCATAATACTTTAAAAATCACATAATCTATTTAAACATTTTATATAAATTTAAAATTATTTCGCATTCATCACATAATCGACGTCGGTCAAATCGCATAATTTACCTCATCGCATCGCATAATTCTGGACACTCTAGATAATGGCTATTGTATAACGAAGAATCATGTGACCGGAAAATCTATTCACATTTTTGTATTCTCATGTCACAATAGAACTTAAATGATGTTCTAGCAAAAAAAAAATTATATATGATTTATAACTCAAAAGAGCCCTAGTTTCTTCGTTGCTGCAAAACTGGTGTACCACAAGGGTAGTAAGCTAAATATGTAATTTTAGTAGCTTCCTGGCTCTTTACACCAATAAAAGTGATAGAGCTATCGTGTTTGTAAAAAACTAGTAAAGGTTTGTCATTTACCTGTCAGCAATGAGCCAACCCAAGTGACGATTTTAAATTGAGCCACCAACCTTTGCTATTTAATTGCTGTTGAAGTACAGTTTTATCAAAAAAATTAAAACATATTAATAATTTAGGTTTTTTTTTTTTTTATATATATTGAAATTATGGTTTGGTACTAGAAGTTAAGTAAAAAGAGCTCTATCTGTATGAATATTGACGAAAATGTTGGCTTGAATTTGTGAAAATCAGTCTACAAAGTACTAATCTAGGTAATTTTGTTTAACAAGCTAAAATTTAAAATTTTTTGAGTTGGATAGTAAATAATACTATGGAAATAACTCAAAAAATTATTAATTTGCTTTTAATATTAAAGATTTGGGATGGGTTTGTAAAGATATAATGCTATATTAAATTTCACGATATTAATAACCTTTGCAACATCGACTACGGGATGAATATTGCATTATCCCTTAAACCATCCAGTTTTAGCAGGCAAATTTGCCTGCTTAAATTTTATAAATTCATATCTGATCTATTTTTTTAAAATATAAAAAT